TTTTTTATCAAGGATAGAGGCATCTGCACACTCCAAATCCATACGAACAAGGTGAATGAGAACCTTTGTTAAGTATCGCTAGTGACCTCAACAATAAAATTTTTGCTTTGTCACTGGTAAGAAAAAACCAATATACAGGATAGTGCAAAAGTCACTTTATCGAAAAGAAAATTAAATATTTCCATTACGGCTCGAGCAACCGAGCTGATTTTTTTACCAAAAATAGAGGCATGCTTATACTTCAAATCCATACAGACAAGCTTAGTGAGGACCTTTGTTAAGTATATTTTTTTATTTTCCTGTCTGTGAAAAAGTAAAAATTTTATTGTTGAGGTCAATAGTGATACTTAACAAAGGTTCTCATTCACCTTGTTCGTATGGATTTGGAGTGTGCAGATGCCTCTATCCTTGATAAAAAATTGAGCCCATTTGGTCGAGCCCTAATAGAGATATTCAAACTTTTTTCCTTGTCTTGTTACTTATGGGACACCCTGTAGTTTTAGGATGTGAGTGAAACGATCACACTCACAACAATAATCATTTACTCCAAAAAAAATCAGAAAAATACATTCGTTAACTACTATTAAAATCAAATATACAGGCAACTATTCCTCGTTGCAATTATACTGTAACGACGTCATTAACGAATGCCTATGTTGTAGTCATACGTATTGACGATATTTATTTTCGTAAATGCCAATAACAGAACAGTATATATGTAGTTAATGGTCAATTTTATCACAATTAGTGTCCTACTCTTAGTGATGTTAATTAGGTGCGAATGTTATGAGTGTTACTTTCAGTCACACTAGAAAATTGCTGTATATCTAATTGCATTGCAATTATAAACGATATACGATACAATTATAGCGACAATATATGTTTATGCCAGAAGCTATCGAAAAAAGTTAATTACAAAATATAACAAGCAACAGAATTATATATTATAATGTATAAGATTGAGTTATGTGAAAAGATTTCAACAATAGTATAGAGCATCGTTCGAGTAAGTTCTTGAATAAGAGTTTTGAATTTTTTTTATCAATTTCTTTTGTTTACAATCAAAAATGAGAATAATATCATACTAAAAATCAATTTTCTTGGGAATATAACATGAAGTTATGACTGCTCTGAAAATTTTAAATAAATTTTACTTTCTAGAAAATTGATATTAGGAAAAGTTCTAACATTTTCAAATAATTATTAATTGTCAAATGATTTTATTTTTTTTCAGACAAGTCTTGATTGTTCATAAAGTAGAATTTCAGTTTGATTTTCTGAAAAAATTATTTTCGAACGAATTAAAAAACTTAGTCGCATATATAAGTTATTTAGTCGATAGTGTCGACAGTTTATCTTTCTCCGACTGCTGCAGTATGTGAGTTACAGAAATGGTAACTAGTACATTCTATTTAGTCTGGAGTCAAATAATGAAAACAAGCAATAAATTATTTAATAATTGATCATGAGAGATAACGTATGTTATATTTGTTTTTCTGAAAATATTTCCAATATTTCTCATTTTTTGTTTGTGTCTTTCAACTATAGATGCTGTTCTTCATATATGCATCTTACATTCAGAATTCATAGTTCACTCTGAAACATTTTTCTTATAACAGAAGTGTTCATTATATATACTAGTCTTTCGTATATTTAATTGAGTTCGTTCGAATATAACTCCTATAGCTATCTAGTATATTGATTTTTGGCTTATAATCGGTGTTCAGGCTATAAGTGAAATTGATATTAATGTGTAAGATCAAGATAAAAAGTGATAATAGATATTCTAAAGTGTTCAGAATGTGAAATTGTGTTCGATATTCTAGAAATTTTCAACACGAATATGATCGTGATTTTTCGACCAGAAAATCAATAATTGAATTTTAAATTTTCTTGAATATTATATTTTCAAGAAAATATAAATTCATTGTCAAATTCATATGAACATTTCTAGAATATCCTTTTCTATGCTCTATAATTTATTTTTTTATTTTACAGTATAGGTTCTAGAATTTTGTCTTAAACATGATTATGAATGACTATTAGAATTTACAGGAAGAAAAATAAAATAGGACAGTCAAATGTCAACACGTGCAAATACCAATATTAAAGAATGTTAAAGATCAGATGTTGACAAAACCATTATCGACGTACAAAACAAATGTCAAATGTGCGAACATAGATGTAAGAATGATTGCCATTTTATGTCTTTTTATCATGTTTGCCATTCATGCCCTTAGTAACTCGATTAGCAACAAACATAAAGCAGTTTTGTGTCTGTGACGGATTCATTTATCAATTAAACTTATCTCGACTAAAGCGCAAGTAGAGAGTGTTAGAATAAGGACGTTGTTTTTTCTAATTGTCGACATTTGTGTTTACCGACATTTGGCAACTCTTCCGTTTTATTTCACTTTTTTTTAATGACAACTTACCGTCAGTATCCAACTACAGAATCACGTTTATTTTTTTGTTTTAAAGTTGTACGTGTGATAAAGGTCTTCTACATGGGCGGCGGAGTCATTAGGCTTGGGGAGGCTCGGGCCTCCCGTAGAAAAATATAGGGGAGGCGTGGGAGGCTCAAATACTAAAAAATATTTTAAAGATATAGTCGCAAGTTTACGTCTTATTAGCGAGAACTCTTTGAACAAAGGTTGTCTCGTGTTTTTTGAATGGTACACCCAGTCAAATGTTAGATAGTCCATGTGTATCACTATATTTGCAGTGCCTCTATGACTTTCGGATCACAAACATTTATCTCTGTTCCAGTTTTACAAAAAATTTTGAAGTAATAGATGAACATGAATCTTTTTGCAGACAAAATCTTTACTAAATAGCGTCGAAGCATGTCTTTCATAAAAGAACAAGAAAAAAAATGAGTATAATCACTAATATTCACGTAGTTAGTGTGAATATGTTATCAACTAATTTAACTGACCGCATTAAAACTCCCTGTTTATAACACATAACGAACATACAGAAGGTGCCAAAGGTTACTATTGAAAATACATGTAACTCCTGTAGCAATGAAGCTTAACACAAAACTTATTTTATTTGAAAGAAGAGACTAACATGTCTGTATTATTAAAGACCCGTTTCAACAACAATGTAGCAAAAGTGGAATTTGCGAATACAAAAAAGAATAAAATGAGGTTTTTCTCTATGTGGAAAACGATATGAAGCGTTTTTTCGATATCTATTAGAATTTCAATCGTTATTAGGAACTTCAAATCATTCAAATCTATCCTCATGACTTTACAAATACTCATCCTGATATATTCTTGAGAAAAAAGAGCAAGAAAGCCAATATTAATGATAACATGTGTTGTTAAATAGTCCAACGCACACTTTTCACGGCCTTAATGGTTTTCGAAGAGGCACGAACGACCTACCGAGGGAAAATGCATCAGTTATTGGTTCTTTTCAAAATGTGTCAGAAAATGGCTGTCAAGCAATACTGAAAGATCTAAATGATCTGAAGTGCACAATGATGAACAAAGTTCTAGTAGATATAGAAAGTAACACTGTATTGTTTTTGACATAGAAAAAGCCTAATGTTTTTCTTTTTGTAGCTACAAATCCTGCTTTTGCTACGTTGTTGATTAACTTGATCTTTAAGAACAAAGTGTTCCTAGGCTCCCATTTGAAATATAAAATATTAGATTCAGCTTGAATAATAGTGCATTGAAATGCATTTAATAAGTCACAATGACTTTTGGCACATTTTATTCGCTGATCACTTTTAGTCATATCGATATCCTTCATATGAAGAAAATTTAGTTTACGTGGAATAGAAGAATAGCTGCAATGGTTCGTTCAAAAAAAAACAGCATGAAACCATTTTCGGTCGTGAGAAGTGCTTTTAGCTCTGCCTTGCTATATTCACATTAGATTAGGTGTAAGATTTTTATGTACATGCTAATTATCCAATAGAAAAGTTAACGTTGCCGTAAAATTTTTCACTATGGTTCAAATTTTGACATGAATAAATCCAAAAATGTGTTTAAAATATAGCGAACATTATAAAAAGTAGAAAATAGTTCCTTTTTTGTTCCATCTCTCATCATTGCCTAGGAAAAAATTTTGAGCCTCCCCTAAGTTAAAATCGTTCCGCCGCCCATGGTCTTCTATGAAGAGAATTTTGCGGGTACAAATGTAAAAATTAGCGCGTGCGCCATAAGATGATAGACGTTGTCTAACTTGTAGATGAGTAGTTGTATAGAAAAACAATCAGATTTATATTTTTCTAATTCACTTCAAATGAAATATACCGATAATTATTTAGTTGAAATCAAATATCTACTTCCGCAGGTTTTATTGTACAGAAGGCATTTGAATTTTCCCATGAACTTTTCTTTATGCCATTACTCGACAAGAGTTCAAAATTTTGAACTATAATTGTTTCAGGAATATTAATTAATGTCTTTTATCCTGATCGATAGGGAGAAAACCTGATTTTATCTAAAATTTTTGCGTTAGTCTACCTCCTAATCTCCTTTCACAAAGTGTTCGCTTTTCTTCAAAGTTTTTGCTCGTTGTCACTAAGAAAGACATCATTAGTATAGTCAAATGTCGTATTATCATGATCTGATAGAGACTTTCAAGTGGATTGTTCATAGACAGTTTTGTAGAAGTTTTCTAATCACGTTTGAACAACGTCTGTACATTGAAAGGAAATTTCATTATACTAAAAGTATGTACTGTTCTTTAAGTTTCTTGGGTTCAAATAAGATAGGCACCATATTTCTTCGAAAACGCATAAAGATCTAATTTTTCGAACTGAGTGCTACTCTATATAGATGAGTACTATCCCATGATTGATTTACACCATTTTTCAATTAAAATCTAGAGCCCTACACTAATATTCAATAGGTGTCTATCCTTTCATGACTACCTCTTATTATGTTCAGTTATCTATCACTATAGTATAATTGTGTCTTTATCAACATGTTATAAGTAAAGTACTTGAATTTAGGTTTTCTAGATTGTATTGATAAGTTATGACGACACCGGCTGAAATTGTTAAGGAGAAACTTAAGGAAGTTGTGTTATTATGGAATTCGAAACGCGGGAAGGAAGTTGTGATTAAATTTTATGCTCCTGATGCTTGTGTCTCCGAGGGTGGCGTCTCCTACAATGGTCACGATGAAATGCTGAATGTGTATGAAAAGTTTCAAGACGTGAAGGTCGAAATGACACCAGTTGATGTATCATCACCATCTGATGATTGTGTCGTTCAAAAATGTGCATGCGAATGGAATGGTCAAGATCGAACTTGCACACTGACATGGAAAAAGATCGATGGTGATTGGAAAGTTATTCGTGAAGAGTGGCTTTGAGGACAACGTCGAATGCCAATTTTCAAACATTAGAGACTCATTAATATTAATATTTAACCAAAATCTTTTTTTTTTGATACTCACTCCATTTCGTCACGGGTGTGGCTGTGGGGGTGTGGGTTTGTGTGGGATGTGGGTGGGTGTGCGTGTGCGTGTTACTGCTCCCTTCAATTGGACCAATACCCCACACCCACACCGACGCCCTCACCAGGGATGCCACCTAATGAAGTCGAAAAAGCGGAAAGTTGACTTAGAAAAGCGGAAAATTGCGGAAACAAAAAACAGAAAAAGCGGAAAGAAAGCGGAAACTTATCTCGTTGCGGATTTTTAGCATTTATGACGATTTTCAACTTTTTCATATCTATAGCATTCTGCTTTTATTTTAACAGAATTGCAAAACATAAAATATTGTTGAAATGAATAAGAAGGACTATGTTTCACTCCATGGTATTCAAAAGTACCTTCTGCAGCTGCTGTTTCTTCAACCTTCTTGTTACATTTCATAGTTGATGTTGTCAATTGTCGATTTACATCGAATGATTTTATGTCTTTTCAACTTTATATGACGATCAATATTATTTTTTTCACTATCACATACTAAAAAATGTTCGTTAGAGGCAATACAAAGAACTTTAGCTGAATCTGGTTTATACTGTCGTAAAAATAATGCGAACTGAGGATTAAGTAGTCATTCTGAATTAAACATGCCTTTTTTTATCTTTTGATAAGCACCTAGCATGGCTTCAATATTTTTATTTTCATTTGATTTCAGAATTGGTGATGTTGTTATTAAATGTTCACGATCTGTTTCATCATTTACAATCTCAATATCTTTAGATCCTAAAAAACGTTTAAATTTTCGAAGTGGAAATTTCTTTTTGCGTATATACAGAAGGCAAAATAATTTGAAAAGTAGTTAACTGCCAGTTGAGAGCAGAATGATGTTTTTAATTCCCGAAAAGGCAATTAGTGCACAAGCCCTTTAACATAGAAGAACTCTATGTGATCATCCATCGATTTTATGGATGATATAATAAGAATGATGATTAACTGGATACGTAAACAGTAAGTCTTTATTCGACAATAATAAGTTTTGCTGCGAACATATTTTGAACATGCATCACCTTTTTATATAAAAAAGCGGAAATAAGCGGAACAGCGAGAAAATAGCGGAAACTTTCCGCAAAAAAAGCGGAAGAGGTGGCATCCCTGGTCCATACCCACATAATAATTCACGAATTAGGTAAAAAACCTCTTTTAATTCTTGGATCAGATTACATCAAAGATCCAGTACATGTCTCTTACGATCCTCAAAATCTTCATTACAAAAGTGTAACTTCTATTAACGATAATGAAGTGTCATTATCTTTCGATGATCTTTTATGCATTTAACTCTCTTGTTTTTTATTTTATCGGCACGGCCAAGCGTTACGGAATTTCATTTTTTCAACTTGTGAGATAAATATCTTCTCAATAACAAGAGAAATGCTTCTGAAATTTTGGGCATACATAAAGGTAAACTAGCTCTGTGAGCACTGAAAATCTCATGGAGTTATCACAAGCCATGGCGAAATTATTTGAAAAATATCGTTCGTTACGGAATTTCAAAAAATGGACAAAATTTTTAGGGATGACTCACATTTTAGCATTTTTATACGAAACTAAGCTACTCATAAATGAACGTTCTATACAAAAGTTGTTCAGTTTTTCACATACTCTTAGAATATCATATCATTTTCGCCTTAGGACAATCCCTTCGAGTAAGCTAACTTAAAAGGCTGAGCGTTACGGAATTTCAAATGTTATGGAATTTCACCAATTTTCTCTTTTTCCACGGAGGACAGTTTAGTGCCATTTTTATGATAATTTTACCTGTTTAATCTAACCTTTTTTGTTCCATAACGATTAAGAATATTGTTTTATATAAATCGATTAGTTTATTTTCATCTTCTTTTGAAAATTTCATTGAAAATTCCATTCATTATTTTGACAAAAATTAAAGGTTAAAAAGTGAAAAAACAGTGAAATTTCGTAATTATTCGTGTTTTTAAACTCGTAGGAAAGAAAAATGATATTGGTTTTATATGTCAGCTGTGTAACTCGGAATACGGAACAAACTTAATAATATTTCAAGATCACACTCTCTATAACAAACTTTTTTTTCTGAATCTTACTGATTTCGAACCTTCCCCAACGAAGGGGACCGATGGCTGGCCGTGCCGTTATCTTATTTTAATATGTATTGTTTCTTTCTTGACTTGTGGGTGTGGGTGTGGGTGTAGGTGTGGGTGTGTAGGTCGGTGTGAGTGTGGGTATGTAGGTGCGCGTGGGTGTGTAGGTGGGTGTGAGTGTGGGTGTGTGTAGGTGGGTGTGATTGTAGGTGTGGATCAGGGTCAAGAGAAGAATTACCTTCACATCCACACCCACCCACACTCCACACTCTCCCACACTCCATACCCACTCACACCCACACACACACTTACTCTGTACAGGAGTAACCGCTGTAGCCCTTATGGCTGAGGCTCCATTACAGATTCCACGTTGATTTTTGCGCCAAGTTATAGATTAAAAAAGAGAGTATCATAGCCAACTACTTCGCTCATTAGCTGTTTCATATTTTTTGGAGACCGCCAACGTCCAAAATTGCGATTTTACGAAAAATCCGATTTTGCTCAGGTTGCTACAAATTAAGGCTTTGGTCAGGCAAGCTGAAACTTTTACTAAAATAAGATACCATTGAGATCTCTTCAAAAAAAAATTTGAAGCCTCCATCATGTACGATTCGCCTGATACAAGGCCCCAAAAATGACGAAAATGAGCATTTTGATCTCCCAAAAGCATATTTGCAGAAAATCAACGGTGCAATCATTTTGCTTCAATTTTTTTCTACTTATAGCATCATTAGCTATGAGTGTTCATGCAAAGTTTCAGCTCAACCGTTTGAGCGGTTTTCGAGATACAGCCGTAATAACGGACGGTTTTCTTCTGACCGTGGATTTTGAACCTTTTTGTAAAAATTCAATAAAAAAACAGTGAAGCGATTTTGTTTTATGCGGCTTTCGGCAAATATCATCAAACAGTTCTCTCTATCACATATGTAAAAATGAAAGAAATCGAAGATGGGTGATTGAGCACTCCAGGTTGTGGCTTACACGCAATGGCTCATAGGATAATTTAGGTATGAATGAACTCCGAAGAATGTCGGGTGTGGATATGCGTGACAATAAGAAACTCTTACTAACACCCACACCCACCTTCTCTTTACTTTGCCATATAGACACTCACTGTATTCTACTTGAATGATAATCAAATTGGAGACAGAGAAGCACAACATTTGGGTGATGCACTAAAGGTCAACTAAGTAAACTACTTATCTAGCTGACCTGTATAACAGAAATGTTCACTTAGTCACAAAAACTCACATAAACGTGTTGATAATCAACAATACAATAGAAAGTTTTTTGAGACTAACGTGTCAAGATCTTATTTTGTTCATGCTATATAATACGTAAAAGCGTGCTATTTGTTCAAATATATTCGAAAGGAAGCAAAATAGAAGTTGTTAACAAACTATTTTCAAGTTTGATTGGAAGTATTTTCAGATGAAATATTGCTAAGCTGATTAAAATTGTATGATAAATTTAAGTAAACTTGATATTTTTACCTATATACCAAAAAGTGAACATTTATTTTCGTTTTAGCAGTGTAATTACTATTGCAAGTAAAGGCTTCAATCATTGGATTAAACTCTCTATGAACATAATTCTTACAAGTTTGAATAAATGTGTGTGTTACTATTTGAGAATGAATAGCACTTAGTTAAAAAAAACTACATTTCGTTTACTAACTTTCACTATGAGTGACGAATGTTAATGATAGTGCCAGTATGAATAAGACACAAGTGTGAGGTACGATCTTCTTTGAATCAGTTTTCAAACTCATAAGCTTATCCCACTATTTTTTCTTTCTTTTATTTCTACTTGAGTAAAGATTAAAATACTTGCATAATATACGTTTCAAGTAGATTTTAAAATTCTTCTATCGTAGAAAATAAAATTTTAATTTCTCCAACAACATAAACATGATTGTTTTTTGTGTACTCAAAAAGTGAGTACACTCTAGAATCGGTCAGTATGTCCGGCCGTCCGTCCGTCCGTCCGGCCGTTAACACGATAACTTTTGAAAAGAGAGTCCGATCGCGATGAAATTTTCTACACAGTTTAGTCTTAACAATATCTCGGTCGAGTTCGAAGATGAGAATGATTGGCCGAACCATTGCTGAGTTATTGCAAAAATAGTCATTTTTCCCTATGAGAAGATAGACCCTTCTCTGCTGTCATAAAAAACTTTTCCTATCATAGTCATATAAAACCCCAACTATTATATACCATTCGATAGAGAATTTCACGAGCTACAAAATGGTATATAAAACATAAAGAAACAAGAAAGCTAACTCGCCTATTGCAAAGATAATTAATCGGAATTCGGTTCTGTTTTTGTCCACGCTCTATGTGATCCACAAATCGAGCTCTATCTTCCCATCACAGAGATGATAGTTCGAGGTTTTCTGAGGTGGAGAACTCGAATCCGTGCTCCATTTGCCTCGAAATCCTATTGGTTGAGCAGTGACCAATAGAAATGAAATTATCGGAAAAACGACTTTCCTAGGGTAAATCAAGGCGAAGAGTTCAAATCTGAGCTCTATTCATCTGTAAATCCTAGTGGTTGAGCAGTAGCCAATAGAAATCAACTGTTTATAGAAAAGGTTTTCCAGGATAATTTTTATGCCCACACATTCTAGGATGACTAATCAGTCTCATTCACTTTTTAGTGTACTCAAAAAGTGAGTACACTACTAAAATCGGTCTGTGTGTCCGTCCGTCCGGCCGTTAACACGATAACTTTCGAAAGGAGAGTCAGATTACGATGAAATTTTCTACACAGCTTAGTCTTGACAATATCTCGGTCGAGTTCGAAGATGAGAAGGATCCGCCAAGAAATGGCTGAGTTATCGAAAAAATTGTGATTTTTAACCAGACCATCCCTGAGGGGGGGTACGGGAATTTTTCGAAAAAAAAATTTTTGCTCATAATTATTCACAAAATACGTAAATCGACTCAGTTTTTAACGCTGATTCTGAATCTGATATTAGTTTTGAACTGAATCATAGTTTTGTGTACTCAAAAAGTGAATACACTATAGAATAGTCAGTGTGTCCGTCCGTCCGGTTGGCTGTTTACATGATAACTTTTGACAGCAGAGTCAGATTGCGATAAAACTTTCTACACAGCTTAGTCTTGACAATGTCTCGGTCGAGTTCGAAGATGAGAAGGATCGGCCGAGCCGTTCCTGAGTGATTGCAAAAATACCCATTTTTCCCTTTAGCTTTCTGTGGAAAAATGGACCCATCGCCGCTTTCGTAAAAGATTTTTCCTATCATAGTCAACTAAAACCCCAACTATTATATACCATTCGATACAGAATTTCAAGAGCTACAAAATGGTATATAAAACATAAAGAAACAAGAAGGTTGACTCACCTATGACAAAGATAATTAAAGAGAACTAGCTTATATTTTTGTCCACGATCTAATTGATCCACAAATAGAGCTCTATCTTCCGATCACAGAGATGATACTTTGAGGTTTTCAGATATGGAGAACTCGAATGTGTACTGCACTTCCATCGAAATACTATTAGTTGCGCAGTGACCAATAGAAATGAAGTTATAGGAAAAACGACTTTCTTAGGGTAAATCAAGGGAAAGAGTTCAAACTTGAGCTGTATTTGGCCCATGTCCTATTGGTTTGGCAACGCGCAATAGAAATCAACATTTTAAATGGTAGATTTCACAGTATAATTTCGATATTCAGACAGTCTAGGATGATTGAGTTGTATGATTCACTTTTTGAAGTACACATAACTCTCGGATTTTAATCCGAAGTTTCCGCATTTATTTAATAATATAATGGGTATTCGGGAATAACTGAGGATAATTTGTTATGTATATTTTTTATACATTTGTCGGACGTCGACGATTGAAATTTTTATCACATATATATCTAATTATATTCTTTTATTTCTGAAAGTTTCAACTCTCTAGCTAAAGCTAATCATAAAATACAACCAAAAAACTTAAATACATAATTATTCGTATTGGAAAATTGTCTATTTTTCAATATGAAAAAAGAGGCAATAATCGAGTACGTATAATTATGTATTTCAGTTGTATTGTTGTATTTTATCATTATCTATAGCTAGAGAACTGAAAATTTCAGAAATAAAAGAACATAATTAGATATATACAGTAAAACCTCCCATAGTGGACACCCCTCGATAGTGGACACCTCGTTATAGTGGACACTTTGGGATCCGACCAAACGATTTTTGCTGTAATTGAACCTCCGTATAGTGGTCACCTCCATATAGTGGACACCCCCATATAGTGGACACTTTTTCACGGTCCCTTTTGCATAAATAACCTCTATATAGTGGACACTAGTTATGAACTCAAAGAAAATGTCGCAATGACTACCGTCGATCATACAACCTAATGACTCTTCTTTATTGATCAGGCATTGGAATGAAAAAAAAGACGTCTGAGTTGTAGACAAAGAAAACGTCCGTCGTGTTAAATAGAGAAGACGTGTATATAAATAATCGTATTGTAAAACTTGTGTCATTTTGTTACTATCATTAAGAAAAAGTGAACATTTATCTGGATTCGAAAGCGGCGAACCAAAGTTCTATCAAAGACTATTTTGACAATTGTTAATTTTTCTATTTTCAAAAATTAAAATATATGAAAACAGAAGTAATAACTTGCTCTATCCGATTATCTTATTCACTAATACTTTAGATGCCTAAAATCGTGCCTACTTCTTCGAAAAAGATATTTTTCTTGAAAAACACTTAACCTCCTCATAGTGGACATCTCCATATAGTGGACACTTTTGAAAGGTCCGAAGGGTGTCCACTATAGAGAGGTTTTACTGTATGTGATAAAAATTTCAATCGTCGATGTCCGACAAATGTATAAAAAATATGAATAACAAATTATCCTCAGTTATTATCGAATAGCGTTTATATTTAAATTAGTTTGTCTTATCAATTGTAAATGATGAATTCGATTATGTTTTTTTTTTGTTTTTATAGAGAAAATATATATTTCAATTGATGAAAGAATATTTTGAAAAATATTTCGAATAAAATAATCTTGTTTTTTTTTATGAATGAAATAAGAAAAATATTCTATTAAGATGAATCAATTGAGTTTTTCTATAAATAGATATATTATTCTCACTTATTATCTTTAATGTTATAAAAAAAATGACAAAAGAATTGAAATAAATCTTTTTTTTATCCAAATCGTTTATTCAATGTCGAGAATGTTTAACAAATATTTTAACAATAGATCGTTTATTAATGATTATTTTAAACGAAACAGTTTGAAAAAAAACAAAAATAAATTCAACATTGATTTAAATATGTATGAATAATAAAGATAAAACAAGATTTATAAAAAAAAGAAAAAATGTTGTTTTATTTATTCATAGTAAAGATAAACTAACGAATGATTAAAAAGATGTCAGTTGGTTCAACTGTGAATGATAAATACTAAATGAACTGCCTCGATGTAAAGCTACGCATGAAAGAAAAAGATAAAGAAACAGAACGTAGAAGAATTTTCCATGATGAAAAAGTGTACTCGTTGACATCAAACTAGAATTTATTCTTGACTAGATCATTGTAAGAATTTTCTTCACTTCAATAACAAATATGGGTGGAAGAAGTTCAAAAAAAACTTTTACTGAATGGGATTTAATTAAATACAGTAATATGACAAGTAATACATATATATATACATATTCATTTTTTTTAAATAAAAATATTATTTTATTTTTTGTTTTATATTGAATAAAAGATATTCCGTTAATAACAGTAGAAAATATCTATAAAGATTTTATGAAAGCAACAGGTAATACAAATAAAATGGATAAAAATGAATTTCGTCGTTTATATAAACAAATGTATATCAGTCAACAATCGAATAATACTGTTGTATCTTTTCTTACTGATCAAGATTTAAATAAAATGTCAGATCATATTTTTGAAATCTATGATTATGATGCATCAGGTTTCATTTGCATTTTTTTGTTTTCTTATCACTTATTTTATCGTTTGCTTTTTTTTCGTTTAGGAAAATTAACTTTTGAAGGTAAACTCAAGATTTTATTTGAAATAAATTTAAAAAAACATGTTAATAGAATTTGCTGAAATATATTTAATGCTTAATCATTATGCTGGAACATCACCAGATGGCAGTTTACGTCATGATCGATTTAATTATTTATTGGATATATATGATACAGAACCTCTTGGTAGAAATGAATTATTTTTCTTTTCCAAAAAATTTTATATTTTATTTCTAAAGATTATATAACACGTGAACGTGCTCAACAAGTTTTTAATTATCTTAATAAATATAACAAGTAAATTATTTCGAAAAAAAATTTATTTTTTAATGTTTTTATTTATTTAAAATTAGTTTATCAAATTTAAATAAAATAAAATCTGACGATATTTCATCGAAAACATTAGATAATAATTTTCAAGATCATTGGAATAAAGTTGATATTGATGGAGCTGGACGGTTTGTTTGTTTTTCTTTCTATTTCTATATTAATTAAAATTTTGTATTTTATAGTGTATCAAAAGATAAATTTATTGATTATATAAGCAAATCAAACGATTACAAACATTATTTTGATCAAAACAAAATTTAAATTTAATTGAACTTTAAATAATATTTAATCAAGCGACAAATTTTTAATTATTATTTAAAAGACAAATATATTTAATCAATATCCATAGAATTTTATTTCATTGTCTTATTGTATTTGGTTTTTGATTATCATTCTTATTTACAAATAAAATTAAATCGATTAAATTTTAAAAGAATTTATTTAGGTATACATCTAGAAGATGCGTTGCTCTTCTCTCTCTCTTATATACCAACAATAATAATCATTACGATTTTAGAAATCTTCTATCCATTTGAAAAATTCAATATCTACATCGAGATAAGAATCAATTCATTGATATTCGTTTCGAATTCGAAAAATGAAATGTAATAGAAAATTAAAAGAAAAAAGCTCAAAATGATCTTTGTTTTTCAATAATTAAAAAAACAATTCTTTAAAAATAAATGAAATTTAATTTGAAAGATTTAAAAAAAAAACATATTTTTTCTTTTAATAATAAAAAAAATGTTAAATTGTTTAACCATTAAAGAGATCTGATATTTAATTATATATGAACTAATAAAATCTCTCTAATGTAATTTACATAGATTCAATTTCGTTTTTTTTATTCTCGTTGAGCAAATTGTTGATGTGAGTGCAGATGTAGATGTGTGTGAGTTTGACGATGAGTTAGAATAAAATCAAACGACACATTTAGCATACAAACATATTTTATTTCATATGATTACTGGCGCAGTGGAGCGAAAATTGAATCTCGTGTGAGCAAATATACCATATAGTGGCGTCGTAATAGTTGATTTGTTTTATTAATATTATAGTTTCTAATTCGGTATACTTACAAATGAGATGTGTCTATTGTTGATTGTATTTATATCAGCGATATAGATGTGAGTCGCACTATACTACTTAACAACGTTTTTCATTGCAGATGCATCAAAATTTGGTTATTGTTATTTATCACTTTTATCTAACGCTATTCATATTCATAATCGATTATTAGGCATTGGTGCTAATGCTATGGTTTCCAATTGTTTATTGAACAATGATGAAACAAATGAATATGTATTAAAAATTAGTAATAAATCCGTTGATAAAGAAGTATCAATTTCTCGAGAATTATATTGTGATAGATATAAGATAATTAAAATGCATGAATATGCTTTCCCATATCGTAAATCGTATTTAATCGGAGCCGCTAATCGGACTAATAAAACTGAGGTAAACCGCCGGTTCTCTTTCGGTTCTTGTAATATGGGTTATTATTTGTACATCCAACTGGTCGATTTATATCAAAAGAAAATTTGTTAAATAATCTTGATATTATATGAAGACATGTTAAAGAAACACATGAAATTAATATTTTACATCGTGATATTAGAAGATCAAACATTATTGAAGTATTCAATAATAAAACTAATAGGTAAACAATGAAAAATAAATAATAATCTGACTTTTTGTAGATGTATAATTAAGAATGTTGTTTTCTATTGCATTAAAAAACTAGTTATGACATATTGTTGATCGACTGGAATAGTTGTATTGAAATTGGCTTTAAACTTAAATATAATTCCATATTGTAAATACTGGATCAATTTTCGCGGTAAACCACGGTTATCGTCAAAACCACCGGTTTGCCGCGATAAATTGTGTGTAGTGGAAGCCGCTAACCGGATTGTTAAAATTGCAGTAAACTGCTGGTTTTTGTTCCAGTTTGGATAGCATGGGATAGTACATTATCAACAGCATCAACTTATATTCTTGAAGAATTATCAAATGATAGAAATCGACCTATCAAATGTCTTCCAATTGATGATTGTATATCATATATGAAAATGATTTTATTAGAAACTATTTCAGAAAAATGCAAAAAAATGTTTCATTAAAAGTTCAACAAGAATCATTTACTGATATAATTGCTATTTATGATCAAATTAGGGACAGTTTTAAAAAATAAGCCATCAATTATAATGAAAGTGATTGAATTTATAGAAAAACATTGTTCATTTTTAAATGGTTAAAAGCTAAATAATTATATTGATTAATGTATCAAAAATCGTCAATCTTTAATTCAATTAGAAAATCAACAAATAAGTATTGATTATTTTAACGATTTAGAAAAAAATATATTTTTTCATCTTAATTATCTTGTACGTATTCTATTCTATATAACGTATGATACAAAAAGTAATGGTACTATATGGCGACCTCAATTTCTTCTTCAATAAAGAGATTTTCAAAGAAGAATTTCTAACTAAAATATAGAGCTTTTTCTTGTCTTTTGGATCATACATTATTTAGTTTTTATAAAACGTTTGTAAACATAATGACACAAAAAAGAAGAGACACACCCTCAACAACATATCTGTACTTTTTGCAGAATTTATCAAAAATGGCAGAAGATGCTCATTCCTTTAGTTCTTGAATAACTCTTCAATAAACATCTTTTGAAAAAAGTTTTGTTATAATTTGATAGGTAATTTTCTTATCTTTTCAACGGTACATCATTGATGTTCGTCACACATTCGTAAGTGAAATAAAACCAAGAAGAAAGAAAAAGATTGTTGCAAGAAATTTGCAACTTTCTTATGAATTCATCAAAAACATGTTACTAGACAAGAAGTAATTTGTTCTTTTCCCAATTATTAAAAATCTCTTGTAAAACTGTAACTAGTTTGTCTTTGATGAACTCGTTAAAATAGCTCCTAAAGTAATAATTATTTATCGTCAAGTATCATCCACGAGACTTCATTTACGGATTGAAAAAAACAGAATAGAAATTTCTTGCAACAGCGTTTGTCTTTCTTCTTTGTCTCATTTTATTTACGAATTTATGAAAAATATAAATCATATACTGTCCAAAGGAGGAAAAAAATTATTCTACGTTAATGTTATTCAGGTGCGGGTGTGGAGTGGGTGTGGGTGTGGCTGTGGCTGTGGCTGTGGCTGTGGGTGTGGGTGTGGGTGTGGAGTGCGTGTGGAGTGAGGGGGGGTGGGTGTGGGTGTGGATGTGGGGTGGGTGTGGGTGGGTGTGGGTATTGATATTCTCTCCTCCTACACCCCACACCCACCCACACTCACCCCACATCCACACCCACACCCACACTCACCCCACATCCACACCCACACCCGCACTCATTCCACACCCACACCCACACCCACTCCACACCAACACCCACACCCACACCCACACCCACGCCCACCCACACCCACACAATGTTTCATCATACGTCCTTTCCGTATCAGAAGAGCGTTTGTTATGTCGTGGTTGGGATTTTTGCATAGAAAACAAAATAAGCAATTTTTTAGAATTCGAAACAGATATAGAATTAAACTCGATGAAATTGCAATCTCATTGTCATACATCAGTGTTTAGACAACTTTGTCGTCATATTCATAACGCTTCACAACAACTCATGCGTATATCTAGACATAAAAAGATTAGTAATCTATCAGATGATGGATTACAAGCATTGAAATCACTAAAATCTAATGATAAAATAGTCATCTGTAAAGCAGATAAAGGGAATTCTATAGTAATACTGGATAAAGAATCATATCAAGAAAAAAAGCAGAAAAAATATTAAAAGGCAAGCAGTTCCAAAAGTTAAATAGTGATAAATTTCATCGAGAGCAAGAAGAAACGTTGAACAAATATATATACACATTATTTCAACAAGAAGTAATAGATAGTAAACTTCGTTATCATCTACAATCTACATGTTCGTCACTTTCAGTATTTTATGGTCTTCCAAAAGTTCATAAGAACGGATACCCAATACGTCCGATAATATCTACTATAGGTAGCTATCAATATCACTTGTCAAAGTACCTAGCAAGAGCTATTCGAGAAGCGCGACCGCAGGCTAACTTTTACATAAAAGACTCATTTGAATTCGTGAAAAAGATAAAAGATACAATTCTAAGCAAGGAACAGAATTGCATAATGTGTAGTTTTGATGTTGAAAGTCTCTATACAAACGTTCCAGTTGAAGAAGCTATCGAAGTCACATTAGATTTTATGTTTAAACCTAATAAACGAATAGATGTTCCCTTCAACAGAGTACAACTTGAAACATTATTGAATCTATCACTTAAAAATGCCCCGTTCCGTTTTGAAGATAAAATATATAGACAGATTGATGGAGTTGCTATGGGCAACCCACTTGCCCCAATAATAGCAGACCTTTGGATGCAAAAAATGGAACAAAAGCTAAATAAATTTACAGTTAATAAACCTATGGTTTGGCTACGTTATGTCGATGATATTTTCTGTATATTTACCATTTCTAGAACAAAAATCGATGAGTTTCACAATAGAATTAATAGATGGCACAAGAATTTGCGCCTCACATTAGAATTATAGAAGGACAACTCATTAGCATTCCTTGATGTCCTGGTAACCAGAGAAAATAATCAACTCTTTACCTCCATCTATCGTAAACCAACGCACACAGGTTTATACATGTTATGGGACAGTAGTCAGAGTCGCCGGTATAAGCTGGGGTTAATAAGGACGTTTGTGATACGAATATATAGAATTTGCTCGACAGAGGACATAATAAAGAAAGAAATAAATCTATTGAAACAGACATTACAAATAATGGTTACCCACCACATATAATAAAAAGAGGAATTACAGAAGGAAAAATACTCGTAAACCGAACATCTCAGAACAACCGAACTACAGATGAAAACAAAAGAAAAATATTCTTCACTATAAGATACTACGGACATGAATCGATGATATTCGCAGGTCGAGTCAAGAAGATTTGTAAAACACTAATTCCGAATATTAACATTCAATTCGCCTTTTAAAAAACATTTAAGCCTTAAGACTATTTTTCTTCCAAAACTAAAAGGAAAAGATGAAAATAAAAAACTGAAAAATTTAGTATATTCTATTCCTTATAATGATTGTAAGAAAGTATATATAGGTGAAACCAGTCGACTAAAACAGACTCGTATTAATGAGCACAAAGCAAATATAAGAAATCTTTCGAATAATTCAAAATTAGTTGAAC